GACATTGCAAGAAAGAGTGACAAAATATAAAAATAAATGAATAATCCTGATTGCATCACAATAATGCAAATATGACAAAGCTGATTGATTCTGTCACACCAACAGTGTTGAATGCCAGAAAAGTTTTCCAGCATGTTCAGAATCTTTTTTTTTTTTTTTTTTTTTTGAGTGACTAAAATACTTCACTTTTGGAAAATGTTCTCTATGACAAACATCTCAAAAGAAGAAGTGAAATATATATATTGGATCTTTGTTGACTCATTTTAATATGGTTTTGTTCACTAAGTTTCAGGTCTGTGTGAGACTGACAAATAATTTTGTGCAGGTGTGCTCAAAAAAGCAACAGTTAATCATTTTGTCAAAAAATAAATTTCTGTAAAGCTCCTTGCCTTACTCAGCTTTGAAAGCATATTTTGGGGGCAGATTATTTCAACATATCTTCTGGATGTGTTCATTTTAACCATAGTCTTTTTCACTCACCCGCCCATCTGCGTAGCTACTACTCTTGGTTGAATGCATTGGTGTAATACGCTTTTAGTAACCTGAAATGTTACATCCACAGGGCAATCCCTGTCCATCACATACTTAATGAAGACTATAAAAACAATAAAAATAAAATGGGGTTCATGAATTCTTGCAAATTGTTGTAATTCAGTAAGAGAAGATGCTTAAAAGACTGAGCTGATACTATGTCTACATCTATGTCCACAAAACTGTACATTTAGTCTTCAGCAAAATGATTTACAGGCTAGGAGTCCCACTGAATACATAGTAAATCTTGAACTTCTGGCTATTAAATATTCAGTATTTCTCACTCACAAGGAGGCTGAAGTCCTCCCTTCTGTATGTTAAATGGAAAGTTGTTATCCTTTACCCCTCTCAGCAACCTTCAATATTTGTCTGCTTTTAGCTTCATCACAGATGGTTCTCCAAAGATACCATCACAGTTTAACATCATTTACAATAAAACCTTTAAGAGCATCCTGAAAAAGGAAACTCCCAGAAGATGTTTCTGATAGATGGAAAGAGTATGATGCGTTCTCTATTTCCAGGTATGGGAATGGAGAAGTTATCAATTTTTCCAGAGACCGACATGCAAGTTTAGTCCTAAAGATGTAAAGAGGTGAACTATGACGTTGGTAACTACTACCTGAAAACATGAATAGCCACATCATTCTGACAGTTCATGGCTCTGTAAGCTTAGGAGTGGATGACTACACAGAATAATTATGGGCATGCATGATTAAAGAACATCAGCTGTAACATGGATGGTAATACTAATGTTTTATTATATTCCCAGCATACAGATTCTACAATTGTATTCCCTTGTTTTACATCCACTTGCAACACCTAAAACTTGATTTGCAGCTTTTATAGAGTACAGCGAAAAATCATTCTGAACTCCCTTTTAGAAAGTAGTATATAAGCAAAGATCACATTTTCTTGTGATTCATACAAATAAGGATACTTTCATAAATCACTTAATAATTTTTTTATAAAAACAAGCAGATTACATTTCTTTCCACTAACCAGAAAATGTTATTTTTGTTTCCATTCCAGCTTGCAAAGACACAGCATCATTATTCCAATATACACTATATGTGTGTATAAACACATACAGATATACATACATATGCACACCTTATGAGGTTTTGAAATCTTAAATTTAAATAGAATCAGAATGTATTTATCTTACCAAGTTCTAACTATTCCATATTTTTTTAAAAGGCACTAGCCTCTAATGTAGTGTTATTGATCAAGATTGCTTAGAAGATGAAACTCTGTAGGGACACTTCCGGACAGAGTATTTTCCCCTTGTATAGTGCTAAGGAGTTGATATTCAGGGGTGTAACTGACCCTAAAGAAAAACAAAAAGCACCTGAAAAGGTATGTGCAGAAGGAAGAAGAAAAAACTGTGGAACACCTGCCAATATCATATTAACAAACAAAAGTCTATTTGACATTTTCTCTCGGTAATTAAAACCACAGTATAGACTGTGTGGTAGATTTCAGTTTAGTATTTTAGAGTATGAGAAACTGTTCAAATGATTGAGGTGGTCCTGAAACTGAGAGAAAGTGCAAAGCACAAGCTGATAGCAGGTGCATATGGATGGAGTGGATCAAGAGTGGTGAATTATGCAACGAATTCAGAGGAACCAAAGGAACCATTCAGGTTACATGCATAGAGACCAAAACATTCAAACAACGAGACAACAAACAACAACAAAACAAACTAACAAACAACAAAAAAAAAGGTCAACAACAACAAAAAAATATATAATTATTTTTGCAATGTCACTGAACCAACTACCTCAGCTAGCTCCTTTGGCATGTACATTTTATATAGTTTCCTATGATGCCTTTAGCATTTAGACTTGCATTAATTACTTAAAATCAATATTCATATCATTAACCTAGTCAGAAAACTTTCAGTGCTCTGAATCATTTCAGTGGAACAGATTTTTCTGTACTGCTAGCAAATCAGATTTATTCTTTTTGAACGTGACAGATTTATAGCAAGCAAAAAAAGAAAAAAAAAAAAAAAAAAGATCTCAGACTGTCACTTAAAGCATCATACTTTTAACCTCCTCCTTTCATCCATAGATCCATAGCTCCTTACCTTTACTGACACCCTCTGGTCCCTATCTCTAAGTCGGTTTTGATTTCATTCCAGCACTCCTTCCAAAATTTACTTTCCAAATCAATATTTTGTGGAGCACAGAACTGGACATTTTCTGAAACCCCCATAAATCATATCACTGATTCCCCAGTAGTCTACCATGTCAGCAACTTATTCAGGGGACTCAAGCAAATTTGCCAGTCATGACCTTCCTGTATTGAATCTGCGCTGACAGTCCTCTAAGTTGTGCATTTTTAAAGTTGCCCTTTATTATTTCCTAACAGCTGAGTTTTTAATCATCCTCTTTACCTTATTTGCTAGGTTATTTTTCTGTTTTCAAACTTCTGTTTCAAACTTCTTTAGATCTGTTTTCAAACTTATTTTCTAACAAGTTCTTCAGCCAGTCAGATTTTTTTTCTATTTCCTAATATCATTCTTAATAATTCTACACTCGTTATAAAAGTAAATTAACATTCCTTAAGATTTTAACCTAGAATTAAAAATATAACCTTCAGCTTCATGTTGAACAACAAAATCACAATCTAGAGATCTCTTACTTTCCAGACTATTTGTAGATGTCTTCACAGTTTTATGTCACACACCGCTAGTTCTGACTTTTTGTATTGGCATTTTTTCTGAAAGTGTATGAAACAGAAGTACTGCATGCTGAATAGTTCACTTTTTAAACTAGTTAACTGTTATCATCTTCCTGAACATTTAACACTTTAACCTCCTCTTATATATATATTTGTTGTCTTCTAAGACTTTGTCTTCTTAACCACTTTTCTTAATAGATAGAGGCATATTGCCACAGAGGGCCACTGTACATGAAATATTCTTTAATTACTAGAGTTCATGTCTCAGTTTTCTGTCTTCCTTTTAGTATGCCTCACACTGGAAAGTAAGCTTCTTCACAAGTTGCATGATATTGAAATCTATCTATATGTATGTTTCTCTTTTTGTACTTGAAACTTTGCAGATAAATGCTACACTTGTTAAAGAAATTTTATGAAAATGATATATTTGCAAATTCTGATAGATAATTTGATAGTATTTTAAAGTAATGGCCCATTTATTCCTAATTCTTTTGGTGTTCACTGTAATAATATTAATCATTTTTAACTGATTTTGCATAGTATTGATTGCATAAAGTACTTCTGAAGGAGTTCTACTGTAACTCAGAAATAATTAATTGCAGCTTTATTAAACAGAAAATGTCATCCAAATTTTAATTGTTAGGAATTCCCCTTAGCTTTTGGCTAACAGTCACCATGTAATTTATTTGTAGTTTAAAACTTCAGGGTCTGATCCAAAGGCTACCAAACACTATGGGAATGCTGTACTCCTGTAAAAGATTACGGCATCAGGTCCTTCACTGAAAACAACACTGAAAAGTCATTCAAGGAAAGTACTATCTTAAATAAATAAACAAATAAATAAATAATTATTATTAATAATAATAATTAAAAAAAAAGAGAATGAACTTTGCTAAAATGTTAAATTTCTTAACGGCTGCAACACAGAAAACTTTAGCTCTAGTAGTCACATCACACTACCTTATATTTCTTATGTTTTATGAAGTTTCTGTGCTCAGCAGGAATGAAACTAAACATCTGAGTGAGTACAAATAGAGTAATGGATGGTGATTTTTTTTTTTTTCTGAGATAAACATAGAAGCTTAGTTTCATACTTCATGATACAGGAATAACTCTCAGTTCATCTAGCTAGCTCACAGACATTCCAGATAGTCTTATCTACAGTCCTCACCTCAGAGAGGAAAAATCAGTGCATCTTTATGTAATTCCATCTCCTCTGCCTGTCAGCAAAGAACATTTCTGGCACTGTACTTTTCTAATTAAGGAGATAATTGTTTATCCCAAAGCCAAGTTCCATCCTGAACTTCACAATACAACTTTTAGTGCTTCACCATAAACTCAATATGCTAGATTATTTTGCTTCACTCTCAAGCATTTGCTTGGTAGTTCTTCTAAACATTTAAAAATTAGCATATTAAGATAGGCATTCTTTCTCCAGAGTACGTATTTGTTCTAAGAGCTTCACATCTCTCTTCACAACTCATTCACTGCAGTACTCTGCTAGCTACTTAAATGACAGGAAGCATATAACAGATCACAGTAATTTCTGCTTCAACTTTTCTGCTCAATTATGACAACAATTTCAATGCAAGATTCAAAACAAAAACCAAAACACATAAACCCTGCAGTAGAAGCCCAAAAATGGGATCTCTCACCATTACTGGCTTCACGACAGACTGCTCACAGAGATGCCGCGATGGATATTTCAACAAATAATCTACACACACTCAAAAGTCTAACCAGGGAAATCTGTGCCTGGCTGGGGGAATGGCAAAGGCACTTACCGCTGCTGTGGCACCGTCTCTCTCGCGCCCTGACTCTCAGTCTCTCTCTCCCATCCTCCTGACAGCCTCAAATATAGCAGTCCCTTATGCTGTTCAGCCTGTGGGGAGCAGAGGATTGCGGAGTTGGTTTTTTTTTTTTTTTCTTTCCCCTGCAATTTTTTTTTTTTTTTTAAACCATCCAGAGGTAGTTCTCCAGATCCGACCGCCTCTCCTCGCCTCGCTCACTGATGGAGAGACCCAGGTGAAGGCATCCGCGGCGGCAGCTCCCGCGAGCCCCTCCCGGCCCCGCCGTGCCCCCTCCCCGGCGGGGGGGAACAAGGCACCTCCCCCTGCCGATCCCGGGGGGGTGGCGGGGGCTCTGCCCGCCCCCGGCCGGGCGTGTGTGTGGGTATATGTGTGTGTGTGTCCGTGTGTGATGTGTGTGGTTATCTGTGTGCCATCTCACACCGCCGCCCGCGGCTCGCCCCTACCCCTAAGCGCACGCGGACGCCCCCCTTCCCCGCTCCCCTCCTTCTCCTCCCCATCATCATTCTCATCTTCCCTCTCCTCGCTGCCTTCCTCCCCGATTTTCTCCCCGTCTCCACTCCTCTGACCCAGAGCGTGAAGCAAGAGGGCGACCTGGCGAGCGCTCTCCCCTGATCTGCTGCCCGCCCCTATAACCCAAGCCACCAGCTTTCCCCAAAAAAACACTTTCTCCCCTTCCTCTCCTTGTCACCCCCTTCTAGATAGATAGATCTTTTTTTAATTATTATTTTTAATTTTTATTTTTCCTGAAACGTTTTTTATTCCCCTCCAGCCTTGACGACCCTCCCTACCCTCCACCCTGCTGCCGGCTCCCGTTCTCCCTCTTCACACCGCGGCTGCGGTAACTGGAAAAACACCGGGACAGCGGGCTGGGGGCCGGCAGCTGCAGCTCCGCGGCTCCGGCAACCCCTTCTCTCCCTTCCTTCCCCGTTTCCCTTCATCCCCCCGGTGCTAATTGCAGCCCGTTTCGACCGAGCACAGCGCCCCGCCTCGCCGCCGCTCCGCGCCGCTGCGCGCCCTCTTCGCCGCTGCGCGAGTTGGGTTCTTGCCTTCCTCGGCCGCTTCGTGCCCATCACTGCACGTAGTGCGCACTCTGTGCTTTTAATGGCTACCCTCAGGATTTTAAGCCCCCTCTTTATTATTATTATTATTATTATTATTATTATTATTATTATTATTATTATTATTATTATTATTATTATTATTATTATTATTATTATTATTATTATTATCATTATCATTATTATTAATCCTTTGGCAACGACAACTTTCTGCTTTAACTTAATGCTTCTCTGGCCTCCTATACATTTTTTTTCCTTGCTCTTTTTCTCCCACCCCTTCGGCAAGTAATGAGTTTGTTTGTTTGTTTGTTTTAACTTATGCATTAACTGAGTAACTGTTGTCCATCTCATATTCTCCGAGATTTTTCTCTGCTTCAGTGACTCCATGTCATTGGTTAATGCTTCCTAGACCTTTGTGGTGTACAAATATATGTGTGTATGCATTTTTCTCTACTAATTTGTGTTTATATATATATATATATATATATTTTTTTTTTTTTTTTGCGTATTTGTTTCTTATAAATCATTCTTTGTTTGTTTTAGATGCATGAGGAAGAGGAGTTGTTCAATTTAGGAATTTGCTGTGGGTTCTTACACAACTCCAGTCTTAAATCTCGGCAATACTAATATAAGTTTTTCTCCCTGTGTCTTTTGCTTGTCTTTCATATGATGCCTCTAGCAAGATAAGTTATCAGTGATGAGTGACACAGTTTTGTGATCTTGTATGCTGTATGGAAGTCTGTTAGAGGATTTACAATTCAACATCATGTTGAATGAATTTTATCTACTAATATCAGTGAGGATGAGTTGGGAGAAAAAAAAAAAAAAAAAATAACTTTCAATTACCCCTTCCTTTTTTTTTTTTTTTAATTTTAAAATTGTAAATGTTTCTTCATTACTTGCTACCGCTGTCTTAAATTTTATAGTAAAAAACTGAGAATGAACTTATCATTAGAAATGGACTTTGAATACATTGTCCCATACAAACACAGAAGAAAATTGTCTCCACAACTGTGGATGGTTCTCTAGGCATATTTCTGCTGGGCAAATAATGTTGCAACTTGACATGTCGAAGCTTCTCTTCATTGACTCAATTCACAGAACATTATCATCTGGTCATTATTTCCAGTGTTACTAGGTTACAAGACAGTATTTAATCAGAAGCCAGGAATAGGGACTGCATTAATTCTGATAGTATGAATAACTTATGAGACTCCATTTCTCAGTATTTCCAAAGTGGACATTAAAGCCAGAAGCATATTTGCTAACAATTTTTATTATTTTTTTTTCAGTACAGTAGTTATTTATGACAACAGTAAAGAATTACATGTGAACAGGTGAGATTCATTAGTTCTTTAAAATAAAGACTTTTTTTTTTTTTAAAGTCATGAAGACTGGATTTTATGGCCTCTACCTTGTGAAGTTTGTAGATGAAGCTTATTTTTCACTAATATAAAGAACACATACTATCCACACTGAGTTACGTTATTTTTGTTTTTAACTCACTTCTACTTAGAGCTCTTGTCAATAAATGTATTTATTTTGAATGGCAACTGGCAACTTTTTATATTTGCTTCTTTCTTTTTAGCTTCACATCAGCAATATTTCTACAAGGACATGTTTTTACATTTTCCTTTAAAATAATTAGGAATGGACAATATACATTTAAGCACCGGCATTCTTCTCTGAAAGTAAAGTAATGCACAGCTTTTAAGACAACCTGTTAAAATTTCAGTTGATTGTGTGTATCCTTTGCAAGGTCAGTTCTGTTTTCACTTCATCATTTAAGAACATGAGCTGTTTTATAGCATATATATGTTCAATGTTTAATGCACTGACATTGAATAACATTCACCACTTTGTTTCAGTATTATTATTGTTTTACATTTTAAGTCAATCTAGCTGCATTTTGCTTATCTGATATAGATGGCTAACTATCTCCATATAAATAGCTTAATCTCTCTATCTCAATGTCCCCAGTGGGCAAGCAAACAGATGCAGCACATCTGCAGGATCTGAATTGTTTCTGAGCTCTTTTCTTTATTTTTTACATCTTTCCTTTTCATTGAGTCTCTCTTCTTTTGAGCTGAGTATAACGTATTTTTTTCTTTGCCACATGGAGAGCTATCTGAGCAATACCATTATTATTGGGAAATTTTAATGTTCTTCCTTAACCAAATGCAGAATATAAATAAAGATAAGGAGTGAATTTCGAACAAAATAGTTGTCTGCACAAACTCCCAAACATCTGTGTCTGCAACAGCACCAGGTGTATAGCTTCAGAGTGGCATGAAAACTCCTCTCTGTCTTCCCCTCCCCATTTATTATAAGTTCCTTCAGGTAACCGAGAACAATAAAACTGCTGTTTTTAATTTGTTTGATTGTTTGTTTTGAAAGTATGCATTGAACCTGTTTTAGTATATAACTGTGTAATTTTAGTTGCAACCACTATATTTTGTCCTCCACTACAATATTCAGCTCCTCATGGTTACATAATTAGAGTTATAAGAAAATTTTTAGGGAGATAAATAGAATTATGTGTAAATGTGACACATAATTCTTCAGGCCTTCAGCAAACAGGAAGGGATTCAGATTCATGGAGGATTTCAGTTATAGCAGATAATTAGCAAACTGGAGATGTTAGCAAAGTCACTGCATAAAACAAACAAACAAACAAACAAAAAACTAACAACCTTTGAGACTTCTGAATTTTCAGAAGTGCAGACATATGACATCTGGTTCAACATAAAGACCGAGAGAAAGTTAACCTATCTGCAAGATTGTTGATGCAACAGAATGAAGCATATGCCATATTGTCTTATATCATGTCAGAAAGATCTTTTGTATCCTGCAAAAGGAACCTTTAAACTGAATATATTGTTTCCTTGAGCCATGGCCTAAGTAAGAGAGGATGATGGAGCGACACTGAAGTTAGTCATGTACCTTAAAGGTGGGGAGGACATTCTATTCCTTGGCAGAAAATTCTGCTGTAAACTTCGACTGCTGTCTGGATAAAGAAATACTCTGGGTACTATGCATTTTGAAATATCCAGGTAATGTCATTAAATTGCTACTAAAATAATGTTAATTAAAGAACAAACTAGCAATGCCATGATATTCAATTTTTAGCAGAGACAGACTTGAAGTTGCCTTGTCTCTGCAGATGCCACAACTACAGGGAGAGGCATAGGGAAGTGATAGATTTGAATATCTTAGCCTTATCTCAAACCCATTTGCATGTTGCTTCTCCTCTGAGTGTCACTCATTTTGTAAGGAGCTGGTCCACAGGAAGCCAGAGAAACAGATTCCTAAAAATGTCTGCTGGATATTGATACAGAAGTTGCCATCGAAGAGGATTCCTATCACTTTTGTGAGTGGTTTGCTCAAGTGCAAAATAACTTTGTACTTTCAGAAGCTGAATAAAGATCAGAAGGGATTTACAGAATCCCTTATCTGCTGGCTTTCCTAACCTTGTGAGAGACATACCTGGAACATCTGTTATCAGACACAATGCACTGCTTTTGGTGCTGTGATACAACTTACTAGTTAGTATGCTGGGAATAGCAAAATCATAATATTACTCATTCCTTCCAGCTTGATCTTCACCATATGCACAGGAAGGATCTAGTGTCCCCTGGAGACTGTTTTTATCTTCTACAAACATGGTGAAAAGCTTCTGCTGTACATGAGAGCAAAATCCACAAAGGGATAAAGAGTGGAGAAAGAAAATACTTGTTCGCCACTGTGGCCATCCCTTGCTAACATGAGATGTTCAGATAGTGAATAAGGAATGTGGTGAGCCAAAATCCTCAGAGGAAAGAAAAACAAAAAGGAAAATAAGAGGTTCCTGAGATGCAAAGAATTTCAGAATAACCCATACTTATGTCTGAATGTTCTAGCAGCAAAAAGAACGGGATAGTAACAAGGAAGACTCCCAGAGCATTCCCAAAACAAATCTCAAAAGAGCGAAGGACATGAAGAATTAAAAGGAACCCTCCTTTCAATTACAGAATAGTCAGAATTTGTGACTTCCGAATGCAGATAGAGGTATACACTAAATTTAGCTTCTTGACTCATATTTCAATACCTAAATATAAGTGGTCTGTTTTTTGTTGTTGTTGTGTGTGTGTGTTTTTTTTTTTTTTTTTTTTTTTTTTTTCCCCAGGAAGTTGAGCAATTGCAGATTTATTTATTTATTTATTTATTATTTGCATATGTGGTTCAAGTGTTTGGGGTTTTTTTTTTGGTTGCTTTTTTAAGCACTTGGGGAAAAACA